CCTCATATCTAAAAAAAAAAATGCTTGTAGTGCATAGAGTTAACTATTTTTACACACACAAGAATAGAATCGTTTTTTAATAAAAAGCAAAACTAACTCGTCTCTTTGTTAGGTGAAATTCCAGTGAATGACAGCAAGTAAATCTCTGGTACAGTTAATTGTGAAGCAACTGAATAAAAAGTCGAGCCATGTTGGGAGCAACAGATTTCAAATTCAGACGCCAACATGTATGAAGTTCACACGATTATTCGTGAAGATAACTGACTCAAAGTTGAGAAAATTATTATTAGCCTGCGGCTTAAATTTTGACCTTTCAGAATCAGCCATCCATGTTAATCGACTATGGTCGAGCAACTGAATTGCCAAAGGCTGTCAAACCTGCGGGTTCTAGATTCTAAAGCAATTGGCCGAAAGATAAGTGGGCGATGTTTGAGCAAGAACATCATTTTCCAATACTAGTCTGATCAAAGATCAAATGGTAGGAGGGTACTGCCGCCTCGTCCATTAAATTGCTGACCTCGTTTCATTTGACTTTCACATTATTTTCGAGCCACTTAAGCGGTAATTCATAACAAAAGTACCTGCTGACTTGCAACACGTGATCTTAGTGCTAATCAAACTTACTTACTTACTACCCATTACACCATCTGGCGTTTAGGGCAGCAACAAAGGATCTCCATCTCTGTCGGTTTTGGGCCATCTTGGTCAACGTCCCCCACGAATGGTTCCAGGGCTTCATTTCAGACTCTACTGTGCGTCTCCAGGTCACTTTGGGTCTGCCCCTCTTGCGATGTCCTTCGGGTGTCCAGTGGAGGGAAGTCTTCACATAGAGTCTGGTTCTCTTCTCAGAACATGTCCAATTCATTTCAATCTTCTCCTTTTTATTATGGTGGTCATGTCCTCTTGCCTACATTTTCGCAACAGAACTGTGTTGGAAATCTTGTCGGGCCAGAAGATTCGGAGGATTTGGCGTAAGCTGGTTGTATGAAAGGAAGATAGCTTGGCACGGTCATGATCAGTCATCCTCCAGCATTCAGCTCCATATAGGAGTGTGGATAGTACACAGTGCTTATTAAAAGGGTAACAAAAAGGACTGTGGACATACAGAGGAATACTATTTTTAAGCCACTTAGGTAAAATGTACGCTAAGATTTTGGAACAAAGAATGCGACCAATAGCCAATAAATGGAAATACAATCGAGTGAAACCCAGTTCGGATTCAGGAGGGACAAAAGATGTAGATCTACAGATGCCATCTTTTCATTGGAACAGACGAGAGACACAATTTAGACCAAACCCCCCCCCCCCAAAAAAAAAAAACAACAACCAAAACACACACACACACACACACACACATACACACACATACACACACACACACACACACACACACACACACACACACACACACACACACACACACACACACACAAAGAGCAGAATATATAGTTTTCTTGAACCAGAGAAGAGCTTTCGACCGAGTGAACAGAGTAATGCTTTCAAAATAAAGAAAGTGCTGGGAAATAAATATGGAGTGAAAGGCCAACTCTTAAAACCACCATGGTTCGTCATGAGAATAGTTTTGTGCCATAATAACACCAGAAAGACTCACTGATTGGCTCCTAATATTGCCAGGAGTTCGACAAGGATGTATGCTCTCCTCTCTTCTATTTCTAACATTATGAACTGAGTCATCAGAAAAGGAAATATGTTTATGACAACACCGGCCTAGTTAAATGAATTCCGGTTCGCCCATGACCAGAGCATCTAAAACGGTTTGTAGGAACATACGAATGGCCTGAATGAAATGTGCACAAAGTACCAGATGAGAACCAGCATTGCCAAAATAGAAATGGTAAAAGTCAGCAGAAACCCAGCCTAATATAGTAGCCTACCAGGTTGTCGCTCACTCACCCATAAATACTAACCAATTAAAGTAAAACGACAACTTATCAATAGCACATTATTCCTTTCAACATTAACTTTTTAATGTCAGACATGGCAGTTAAACAAAGCACAAAAAGATGATTGTCAGTGAGATTAAATAATGTCCATAAAATTAGAATGTCACAAGGAATGTCTGCAAAAGGAACGGAATTTAACAGGGATGAAACTGGTCATACTGCAGAACATAAAAGAATCAAATAAAAAAGTTCGGTCATCTGACGAAACCTCGGGTCACAAAAACTGCAGATCTATCCCAAGACAGGGTCTCTCTCTCTCTCTCTCCCCCTCTCTCTCTCTCTCTCTCTCTCTCTCTCTCTCTCTCTCTCTCTCTCTCTCTCTCTCTCTCTCTCTCTCTCTCTCTCTCTTTACAATGTGAGTATTTTCTTTCTTAAAAAGCAACAACTAACTAGCTTCTAAACAAACAAAAAAACCCAAACTAGGTAGCTGAAGGGATTGGCCGATTCCTGAAGTTCGCATTGGGGGGGGGGGGGGGGGGAGACTTACTATTTATATTTAAACTCGCACAAAAAAGTCAAGGAATAAAAATTCAAAGAAAGATAACTGAAAAACAGTTTAACCAAATTTATTTATTTTTTTCAAAAAAGATGCTTTCGACTCTCTAGATTAAGTGTGTACAATATTAGATTTCAACAACCACGAGAAGTTCATATAAAATTAATTTAGATCACACTGGTTGAATTTCAAAAGTCTGAACAGCCATAGTTCCTTATGCACATCACCAATAGCGGGTGTCGCCACCTTGTTTGACCAAACACTCGGCACAGCGTCGAGGCATGGACAGGGTATGCCTTCGGAGAACTTGTTGCTGTGGGTTCTGCCACTCCTGGACGAGGTAGCCCAAGAGTTGTTGAAGGTTTTGTGCAGGAGGGTGGTTGTCCCTTATCCGTCGGTCAATGGGATCCTAAATGTCCTATATTGGGTTCAAATCCCGATTAAAAGATTGCCAGTCCATGTGGGTGACAGCTCGCTGCTGCAGGAAGTTCCCCGCGATGCGTGCACACTGTGACATGGCGTTGTCGTCTTGCAAAACAGCCTGGGGTCCAACCTCCTGCAGAAGAGGAACAGCTGGGGGTGGCTGGATTTCTTCCCTGTACCTTGCCGAGTTCAAACTGCCCTGTACGTGGTACAGAGGAGGGGGTTCCTGTGGTAAGCTAAGAAGCCTCCCCACACCAGACCGGGCCCTCCACCGTAGGGCGTCACATGCTGGATAAGTCAGGGTAGAACCGCTCTCCTCGGCGCCTCCAGACGTGAGCACGCCTGTCTGGGTGCAGCAGCTTGGATCTGGATTCGTCTGAGAAGACTACCTGGTCCCACTGACGTTGTGTCCTCTGTGAATGGCGAGCAGACCACGCCCAGCGAGCTGCTTTGTGGGGCTGGGTGTGTCTTGGGCGCCTGGCAGGAACACGAGAAGCGAACCTCGCTCTACGGAGACGGTCCCTTACGTCTCCTCGCTCATGTGGACATTGTCACCCGTAGTTGGCCCCAGATGCAGTTTGTAGTGGTGGTTCGTGAAATTTCAGCCTGTCCGACAATGAACCGGTCGATGCTGTCGTTGGTCAAACATGGCGCCCTGGTTGAGGCCTGTCCTGAACCATTCCGGTCGCTCGCCGTCGTTTTTACAGCCTCCACATGACTGACGGGGACACCCCAAGTCAACGTGCAACGACTCGGAACGTGAAGCCATCTTCGTGCCTGTCAAGGGCTCGTTCTCTGTCTACATCAGGCAGCGAGCGTCGACAGGCCATCTTTTTGTAATGAAATATGGCTAAAAAACGCTAGCTTATAGAGGGTTGCATGTGAGCGATATTCACAGCCAAGACATCTGTTTAGCACGTGCCAAGCTCAGTTTTAGCCACCAGTCCTTATGCCAATGTTGCTGAGGAAGAGAAATTTCGCCCATTTTTCATGCTTTTCGGCTGTGTTTCGGCATGCCCTGCGCGTCGCCGTGAAGCTTGTGTTGGCAGATTTGCTGCATAGACAAACTGTGTCTAGTCGTCAGTGCGTGTGCCAAGTTTGGTGGACGACTGAGCTTAACAGGTTTACGAGATATTGAAGTTTAAATTTGACACGTGAAAACACAAGTTGTTCCTTGACTTTTTTGTGCGAGTTTATATCACCCTCTTTTGGTACGAAATTTAGTAATACGTAACACAGCAGCTATTATTATTTATATATAAACTGGTCATGACATCAAAACAAACCAACCTATTTTGATAGTTCTTCATCTAATGAAAGAACTCCCGGTAATTGAGATGATTTGTTTTCAACAATAATTATTGAAAGCTTATTTGTCATCGATGTCGTCGTGAATTAATGTTCCCGAGCCACTGCCAGCCAACGGCTAATTCATCGCACCAGCAGTACAACGGTTCAGACCGCGAGTTTTGGATTTTGGAGCGGCTTGCCGGAGATAAAGAATTGAACGAACGACTGCATTATCCATCGTCCATGTCGATTTTTTTTTCATCGCCAACATAATTTTTACCCTTACAAAAAGTACGTTTTAGAGGAAATTTAATTGTAGGTTCTTTAGATCATAATTATAATGATACTGACGCGTACCGATTTTTAATTTTCAGGCTTAGATTAATTTCTTTTATTTAATTAATTTTGATTGAAATTTGCGGGCAAAAATATTGACAACCGGTGTTATTTTCGAAGACAATAAGACACCTTTATTTTGTTTAAAAGCCTAGCCTACTGCGCTTCAAAACCATTTATAAACAATACGAATTAGTATTGTCCTAGATTGTGCACTGTCATGGCCGCCGCTCTTTGGTCTCTTATAAAATCTTCGCTCTTCCGCGTGTACACCATCGGCACCCAGATGAAGAGAAAAACGCCTGTCTTGCAGCAGTTGAGTGCGTACGGCACCTGTCCCCCCTGCTATCATTGAGAATTCATTACTTTAGGCCTAGATCTAGTTCCAAACTGAGTTAAATGGTGCGCTCCGTAGTGAACCGGAACTACGTCAGAGGGCATATTCTAGAATATTATAATACACATGGCAATAGGGCAACGAGAACGCTCAAAACCTTCTCTGTAAGGAGAAAATTCCTACGTTGGCCTATTCGCAACCCAGATATTATTGCAAAGTAGATCTCGGCCTTGGCCTGTGCCATTTTTGACCACCTCCTCGAATCCATTTCCGGTTTGTTCAAAGGCGCTTCTGCCCTCCGCCATTGTCACAATTCTGGCCTAGCTTTTCTGTTTTACGTCGATGACTTCAACTTTCGTTTTTATTCGCCACTTTCTACCAAGTTGATAGTCAAGTGTTCAGTTTATTATCGAGACCTCCATGCGATTTCAAGGCCAGGGCTTGGTCCCTTCATCTGCAGGTGTTCTTTTTAATTAGATAATGACTTCTTTGCCTTCGACTTCGAGACAGGACAAGCTGGGGGGAAACCAATGCTGTGCCGATGGATGCCAGAATGCTCGACATGGATTGCCTTTTTTTCGATTTCCAAGGGACGAGGCTAGGTAAGCTTTTAAAAGTGAAAATTTTATGATTAGATTCTAGATCTAGATCTATAATCTAGACCTAGAGATGTAGATTCTAGATTTCTAGATCTAGTTCTAGAAGATTTTGATTTTTGCAGCATGATAGCATGGCTTGATGCTGATGAGATGAGATTGAGATGTATGGACCGAATTTTTTTGTACAAAAAAGCAGAATCTTGCATTTTTTTGCTTTATGTTGGTCATGGTGACTAAATCTAGATCTAGATCTAGGGGGGGGGGGGGGGCAGGGGGGGTCCCCCCCCAGACAAAATTTTAATGAATTGAATAGATCTCGGTCCGAGATTCTCCATTGAGAGATATATATATATATTAAAAACGGGACAATTATGAATTCCTAAGGTTGAGACATAGGCAAAGTCAGTCCGCTGGTCTGGTATTCTTCAATCTTGCCTAGAGTCTAGACTCTAGATCTAGATTCTCGATCTAAATCTAGATCTATAGATCAAGAACTTATCTAGGCTAGTAGTAGTAGGCCTCGTTTTAGTTTGGGTTAGGCCTAGGTTAGGAGGAGGGGTTGTGAAACTCCCCAATTGGTCCAACGAAGTGACCTTTTCTCCGAAGGCCGGGAAAATAAAGTTGAACTTTATTTCTCCGAACAGTTTCTGATCTCGAGATATTTTCGTTATTTGCGAGATTTAAAGATCTAGATCTAAATCTAGATTAGATCTAGATCTAGATCTAGATTTCTAGATCTGCGTCATCCTTTCATTCTGCCATTCTGCGAGGACTTGGAGGAAGCATTTTTTTCATCGAATTCAATTTCTAGAGCTAGATTCTAGATAGAATCTAGAGATTTTTTAATGTCTGAATATTCAGATACACTTCAGTTGTGGTTGGGGCAACGTTCCCGGACTATACTTCATTTGAATACCTTTGAAAGGTATTGCGAGGAAACAAGACTGTTCGACCTTGGCAGTAACCTAAATTTGCATTTAATCACCCAGCAAAAACTGCCCCCCCCCCATTCACACCTTACACAATGATACACTCACACACACACTCGCACACACACACACACACACACGGGCCACTCCATTTGCTACAAATCTCGAAAAAGGAAAGCGCTCTGAGAAATAAAGTTCTTATTTATTTTATCGAACGTTTGGAGAAATAGAGCCGGCCTTTGTCCAAAGCACGGAATTACCACGAATGAAAACCATCATTCATATAATAGGCTTTGGAAGAGGCTAGCCGTACTTAATGACGGCTAGACTGGCAGTCTAGCTGTACTTAAGTACGGCTAGACTCGCAGTCTAGCCGTACTTATTCTTAATATGATGGCTAGACTGACCATTTACAAAAAATAGGCCTACTGAATTGTAAATATACATTTTTAGTGTGCAGTACCTAAAGTATTTGTGTATTTGAGACGAAACCAGGTGCCTTAATGACAGTGCATGTATTTTAAACCTCCTGTTTTCTAATGTTAATAGGGCCTAAGATAAGTACGGCTAGACTGGCAGTCTAGCCGTACTTAAGTACGGGTAGACAGCTAGGCTAGCCGTACTTAAGGACGGCTAGACTGTCAGGCTAGCCATACTTAATATTGATGGCTGAATTGTAAATGAAATTTTTAGTTTGCAATGCCTAAAGTATTTGTATTTCAGACAAAACCAAAAGGTGCCTTACTGACTTGCATGTATTTGAACCTGAATAATTACTAGATCTAGATCTAATGAGACCTGTGTACTTAACAGGCTTGAGTCGATAGGGCCAAACCTAGATCTAAGTACGGCTAGACTGGCAGTCTAGCCGTACTTAAGTACGGCTAGCCACTTCGATAGGCTTTCTAATTGCGATGGACGTTCAAGTCAGTATTCGTCTATTCTATAGATCTGGATCTAGATCTCTCTAATCAAACAGAAATGAGCGAGAAGAAAAGGCAAAGGACTCTATCATCATTACATGTCGTCATCAATGGCTCCGACATCAATACATGAGACGATGAAAGTAGAATATTTAGCCTTACACAACTTATAAAACGAAAGTGAAAGGTTTAATTTTTAGTTCTGGTCTAGAATCTACTTCATAAATTCACTTAGATTGTCGTCCTTTTCGTGTTGTCTCTGTCTGCAACAGGAGAAAAATAGAACAGTTTTGAGGGCTTTTATAGATCTCTAATTGTCTGACAAAAAATTTTTGTGATTAAAACCCCAGTATGAATGCTGAGATTGACTCCCGTAATTTCACATCAATTAAGTGTGCGTGCAACCCTGGTTACATATAAGACAAGTACAGGAGCTCAGTTCACAGATGGCGCAAAGAGCCACCCTTCTGTCACTTCAATCTTTCCCACACTATAAAAGAGGAAAAATCTCGGCTGTTGTGTGTGTTACAACATTACTGCCCTCCGATCGAGCATTGGTTCTGAGACGCTGTCTGTTCTCACTTTTTGACATAACATCATCACATCATGAGATAAAGACTTTTGTGCGTGTGTTTGAGTGTATGTGAGTGTGTGTGTGTGAGTTACTGTCTTAATAATAAATAAAACTCATCTATCGCAACTGGTATCATTAATATTAAAATAAAATGTAACCCTCTCTTTACTTTATGTATGGCCTTGAACCTATTTTCACCATGCAACCAATTCTTAATAATTTTAATCTCTTTCACTCCAGTCATTTGTAATAATTGGACTCACTCAACAAGTAAACTAAACTATTTTATGCTCAGACTCTTACATGACTGAGATTTTTAAATAAGAAAAAAAAAATTACATTGTTTTCTGATTACAACCAGTAAACAAAAGTTGCCAACATGGCCTGGTCACAGTTTAAAGGAAATAGTGGTCTGGTAAGGAGAGAGCTGACAGTGTAAAAGGACCTGTTTTATTTTCAAATTTTCTGTGTTTATAAGTAAATAAGAATTATCATATTATGCTGCGGTGGAACTTTTTTTGTTGTTGATAAGTCAAAGATCATCTTTCTCTTTACTTAATTTTTCTTCCATGTTTTTATATTTTGGTTGTTTCGTCAGGTGCAAAATATGGATTCAGAATATGGGACGGTTGGATTTGCTTGAGAAACCACTTTCTGAACTCGGAAGGAAAGGCTATTCCTTGTGTTGTGAGCACTTTGAAAGCGACCAGTTTGACGTGCCGTTTGAGAGACGACATCTTAAGTGGAATGCAGTGCCCACGTTGTTTAAAGTATCCCTCCCTATTCCACCTACCCAGAAAAGGAAATCTGGTAGCTCGCCACAGAAAAAGTTTGCTAAAAAGTTGGGACTTGAGAAAAGAGAAGGTAAGCAAATTGTTCAGGTTTTTTTTTTAGGTAACGACTTGCAAGTTTTTAAGAAACTTTCTTTTCTGAGTAGTGTTATGTTGAGGGAATAAGAATAAAAAATTCATCTGTCTCGAAATTTAAGGAAACATCTGCTACGTGTTTGTCTAAAAGGCAGGGGACATTCCAACTGGTAGATACATGATCATAGAGGTATTTGATTCAAAGATGCAGATAGAGTTGACCTTTGGAAGTAAATTTGTCTCAAGTATCAGTATTGTCAAAATTTAGTACTTTTAAATTGAACAACGGTATGAAGCATGAATGATTATTATTGAATTGAATACTACGGATGGATTTTTAAATTCAGAGTTTCCGCCTCCTAGATAACCGCACAGTGTTGAAAGGGACATATATATTTAACCAACTGTTGTCTGTGGTGTAGCGGTTAGGATCTTTACTGTTTACATGAAGACGTGAGTTCCATTCCTGTGCGGAGGTTTTTTTATTGAGTATCTCTGTCCGTCTGTTGGGACATTGTAATTTCTCTCACTCTGGGTTGGCCCCAACAGACAATGTCAAAGCAGCCTGTCTCCTAATTGATCTAAATTTTATGGATGGGAGCTCAAAAGCTTTACAATTTAAATTAAACTATTGCTATTAATAGCTCCAAGGAGCCCTGTGAGTCTCTATTCCTTATTTTTTACCTCTCTGTTGTTTCTGTCCATCTTACATTTTGTTTGCTCTTTTTAAAGTCCTCTATTGAGTTGATGTGCTTCTTTTTACTCAGCTAAAAAGGATTCTCATTCTGTCGTTGTCCTCAGACCAAGCAGACAACGGAGCTCATCGTCTGATAGGGGAGACAATGAAGTCCAGTTCTGAGGAAAAGAATCGGTTGGAAGGTATTTTGGTATCAAGCCACGATAACGATTTTCAGCAATCTACGTTGCCAAATCAGCATGACCCTGTAGTGCTGCTGAAACGCATTGCAGTGCCGGAGGAGGTGAACCCCACAGCAGGAAAAAAGCTGGTTATCCCTTTAGCCATTAAAAAGGAGGAAGATATTAGCTGCCCTCCTGAGATGGAACGAGAGACAGTTGTGACTGCCTGGAGAAAGTCAGTACAGGCCCAGCAGGTACTGATTTTGCTTTTCCTTCTTTTACAACAGTTCTGCGAGCTCATGCTTGACTCTTTGTTAGTCTATCTCAGCCTCTTTTGTCTTCTATTTTTCTGTGAGATCAAGGTGTTCAAAGCCTTTACTTTGTAATAATGTCTTTATAAGTGTCCCTGGCACTGCATTTGTCTCTTCCTAATTTGTTTAAATTATTTTATTAGTGACCGCCTAACTCTTGCTGCTTTCAGCACAACCTCTTAATGACTTCCTTTTCCTTTCATGAGGATCTCAAGATTTCTTTTAGCCCTTTACATAAGAAGGGCACAAAGAGATGTCAATCTTGGCTAGTTTGAGTTGTGATATCAGCTGGAAAGTGTTTGAGAACCTCTTCTTACCCATCTGAGAGTACAGGGCTAAAACCTGATGAGTCGCCCCATATCAGACTTAGAAAATAAAGTTTACAATAACAAAAATGTGGGCTGTCGAGCATTTCATTTGTGTTTTATTCAAAATGCCCAAAGGTGGTCCATTGTGCCCTTCTTATCATTTTCATAAAATGAGAAATGCGGACAATTCCTGTTTTGCTTCGCATATTATATGACTTCGTGTGTTCTTCCTTTTTTGTACTTATTATGTTCATTTTTTAAACTCCTCTTTAACCATTTACTTCTGAATGTTACATGAAATGCTTACTTACAATTTGTAAAAATTCATTTCTGCTGTAGTTCAAATTTTACCAGACAAGAAATATATCGATCATAAAATTATTTCAACTGGTAACATACATTTTGTTACTACTTAGAATTAAAAGAAAAATTTTCTGTTGTGATTCAGATGCTATAGGAAAAGAGTAATAAAAGTATTATCTGTCATAAAATTATTTTATCAAGAAACATAGATTTTGTTTCTATCTTTCCTTGAAGTGTTTGACTTGGATATGGCAGGGAGCACTTTGACATTTGTTTCCATTGGAATGTTTTTCTTTTAAACTTTTTCTTTAGGTTTCAGATCATGGTTTACAACTCATTTCTCTGCATAGATGTTATGGAAAAAACATGTATTATCTCTTTTTTTTCCCCCATTACCTATCTATTTATGTTGTCGAAGTAAATTATGTGTTTCTGAAACATGACTTTTATCGTCTTCTCTTGTACACAGGCGTTGCCCTCAAGCTCAGCTGAGGCTGATGTTTCCGTTCATGCATCTCAGGTCCCTGCAGCTGGCATGGAGATAAATGTCATGGGAAATCATCTACTTCAGGAATCGCCGGCTCCCCAAAAGCAAGACAGCGTGGCCAAGTATGTCCGTGCTCTGGAAGACATCAGCTCTGGGGCCGAGGTCACTCAGGAAGGTGCGTTGAGAGACTGTTGGCAGAGTTTTTATCGTGCTCTTTGAGTCTGTCATAGCTCATGTTAGATTTCTTGACGGTTGGTATGGGTGGTTGTGGATGCTCCGGTGTGGTTTGTTTCTTCTTTCCTATCAAATTTCTGTCGTCCTTGTTTCTGCTTTCTTTTACAGTTTGTTACTATTTAGTAACTAATATTGGGAACTTGTATGACTAAATTGTTTTGCAAGTGATCTAAAACTCTTGCTAAAACTGAATCTAACTTGAAGATAGGTGGACACTCGTGGGTGATCCACTGATTCTGTATTTTTCCCTCTATCTTACTACTTTCTTTGGAGTGCGGGGATGGTTGGAGACGGCCACTCGTAGGTCCTACTTCTTTTTTTCCCCTCTTGTTTCCATCTGTCTGCCTTCCTTACTTTTTCCTATCACAAAGGGGCTGTAGTTGTGTCAGTATTCTTCTTTCTACTCAAACAACAGTTTATAATCTTTTCTCTTAATGAATGTGATCTCATACCATAGTTTAAGGGTCATTTACAGTACGGTACAGACTTATTGTCGATATCTGGACATTCTGCTACGTCAATACCTCATCAATTTTTTAGGCGCACCAGAAATTTCATAAGAAACTGAACAGTCAGTGCCCCATGCCTCATCTGTCACTTTGTCTCGTGTTTTTCAGTTGCTGTCCAGACCCCTTCAGGGCGCAAGTTTAAGATTTACGTTGTGGCTGTCGAAGGTAAGTAGCTGTTATAATAATTGTAGAGTACACAACGTTCAAAATTTTTGTAGAAATGTCTAAGTAAACTCTTAGCAGATGGAATGGTGTTCCACATTTATTCGCAGCTAATTTTGACATTTTAGTTTTTAGCAACACAAAATTTCTCTTATAATCAGTCTACCCGTATGTAACATATTTGCAGAAGATAAACACCAGCCTGAGAAGAAATAGATGCTCCACGTGCTAAACATAATGTGTGATTATACGTAACATGGATTGGTTTGGGTTTAGATTTTTGTTGTGATTTGTAGTGGTTGGCATTTTGTTTCATGTTAATTCAAAGATAAAAACCGAAAACCTTTTCTGTTCTATCTTTTTTTGGGGCCTCTACAGAATTGTTTGAAAAGGTCTCAAAATAGTTCGTCCTGTGGTGCAAATTAGGAATCTGAATTTATGGCCATAGTGACTTAATGATCTAAATTGTGTTGGTGAGGGTGTAAAATATGTACGATCTGTCAGCAAAGGCTTCTTTTCTTTCTCACCTAATCTGCCTCATTTTTCTGGTTATGCTGCTCAAAGTCAGAGCTGCAGCACTGGAAAACGTACTATGAGTTTTTAAACTGTTTGTACAATGAACTTTAATGTTTTCCTTTCAGAACCCGATTCCTCCTCTCCTCCACCTCCCTCGTCTTCCCATCCTCCTCCTCCTCCTCCCATTTCCCATTCCTTAGTCCCTCCTCCTCCTCTTCCTCCTTCGTCTTCTCATTCCCTTCATCCTGCTCCTTCTGGGAGTCGTGAAGACAAACTCCAAGCGGCGCTGAGACAGAAGCTGACAAACTTGTCGCACGGTGTGAGAAAAGACGTGATCAGCGAGGGGGCAGGCTCAGCAGTGACCAATCCTCAAAAAATCCCCACGGGTAAGGCATCGTCATGGTGATATGGTAACCTTTTCCTGCACCCTTCCTTTTATGACTATGGTGCTGACCTTTTGGCCTGTACTTCTGATTTATTGCAAACTGAAAAACTAACCTTGTTTGCTTAGTTAAGTGCTAAGATTTGCCACTTTAGCTAATTCATTGAAAAGCTTTCTTATGTTAATTTGAGACTCGTGTTGATACTCCTTACATTTCTGGGGTCTCTCTCTCTCTCCCCCCTCCCCCCTCTCTCTCTCTCTGTCTCTCTCTCTCTCCCTCTCTCCCTCTCCCTCTCTCCCTCTCCCTCCCTGCCCCCTCTTCCTTTCTGGCTCTTTCTCTCCTCTTGGCTCTTTCTCTCTTTCTGGCTCATTCTCTTTCTACATCTCCCTCTCTCCTCACTTCCCCTGCCTGTCTTTCTTGCCTTTTCCCTACTTCAAGTGACCATCATTGAGTGGGTGTACTTCTGTACCTTCAAACAGACAAACATAGAAAGTCACTGTGTGATCTTGGTTCTTTGCCTGTCTCTTCCTGCAGGAGGTTTCACCGTCTCGGCCCGGCCAGCTGTCACTAAGCCTGGGACTAAAGCAGTGCTGTCTCTGCTGACACAGAAACTGTCGCCGCTCGACCATGCAAACATCAATGCCACAAATTCCCCACAGGCCAGTCACAAAACCAGAGGCCTTTCACATTTCTCTAACAATAGTCCGTCAGACAACCACCACAACCTCCAGGACTATGCAGAAGACTCTTCAGGGTTTCTAGAGCCTACACCAGTGTCTTCATTGTCTCGTCCAGAGCCCTCAAGACAACAGTCAAGTGGTCAAAAGGTAAAACAGAGTCGTGCTAAGGTTTCAGGCAAACCGAAAAATCTTGTGAAAGTCTCTAGTGAGTCGTCCCCGCTACCCAAGAAGAGAATCGTGGATATTTTGAGTGCCACTACTTCTGATAAACTCTCAAATTCTCAGGAAGTCTTGAATAGTAATTCTAATAACAGCTCACTCATCCATGCAGAAAGCGCAATAAATTTCAGGACACGTTTTCAGAATGCCTTCTTTTCAAAGCGAAAGGCGGGTCATGAGTGCCAGAACTGTGGTAAAGATCCCAAGCTGTGCAGACCCCCTAGCAGCATTACAGCCAACCGAAGCAGTAGTGATAGTGCAGGTGACGCCCAGGGTTCCATAATTGATGTCAAACCATTTGAAGCAGAGTTAGAAGAAGAGGAAGATGGTGAGAGAGAACTGTATCCAGCGCTTCTTTCTTCGGGTACTCAGACCAGCGATGCGACTCCAGCGTGGAAGCCGGATCGGGACAGAAAGATATCCAAAGGGAAATACACGTGTTACATTTGTGGCTTGAAGCTGCAAAGACTGGTCAACTTCTCGGTACACTTGAGAAAAGCACACACATATGAGTGGCCGTACCTGTGCAGGTTTTGTGACTACGGTTGTTATGGGGACAAAGACCTACACAAACACACCAAGACTCACTTCAACTTAGTGAAAGGTACGTACCGGTGCAGAGTTTGTGGCGCCACGTTCGCCCGTCTCCTGCAGTTCAAATTCCATGGCTTTATTCACAAAATGGCTGTTCCTACTTCGGTGAAAAAGAAAAGGTTGCAGCGGGCTTTAAGGGTCCAGAGACAAAAGAAGACGGAACCGGAGGCCACGGTGAAAGTGAAGACGGAGGAGGATGTGTACCTGCGGTATATTCGGTCTATGACGTGTCCCGTTTGTGGGGAGAGGATTGAAGAGGCGAGAATGCTCAAGTCGCATATTTCCACTCACCTCTACCTGGACATCCAGAAGAATGTGATACTGGTACGGGATCAGTCCACCAGAAAACCGCTGGACCCTTTGTCAGGGGCTGTTGACCTTTCTGTCGGGAAACCCAACAATGAAGGTCAAGGTGAGGCGGGCCAGGCGGTTCTTCAGTTCCAGAACCGTATGGTAAGCCCGTGCGAGTTCATCTACTGGTGCCGTATGTGCGACGTGAGCTACATGCGAAAAAAGGAGCTGTTGAGGCATAAGGACGAGTACCATCCGGGCACCGATTGTTTGTACGACCATAAAAAGTCGCTGATCCTCAAGTCTGATCGCAAGAGGAATTCCTTCGTCTGCGAGGTCTGTGGGGCCAGCTTCATCTGCAGGTCGTCCATGAAGCACCACGCGATCCTCCACACCAAGCAGGACATGTACCAGTGCGATGTCTGCAGCGTGAATTTTGCCAACCCTTTCTCGCTGAAAAAGCACAAACGCGTTCACGCCAAAGACAAAGCTGATCAAAACCCGCCCGCAGGCCCCCCGTGTATCTGTGAAGTGTGCGGGAAATTGCTCAGTTCGAAGTATCAGCTTGAGAAGCACATGCAGATCCACACGCGCGTCACCACAGGGGTCACGGTTCACGAGTGCTCCGTCTGCCAGCTCACGTTCCCCAATGGGAACAGACTGTTGAGGCACAAGGAGGAACAGCACCAGACGAATAAACTGGTCTGCGAAATTTGCGGAAGAACTTTTGGCAATTCCAGCGGTCTCAAAATCCATCACTACAAGGTTCATTTTCAGCAGAAGAAGGACGTGAAACCAAACCGGGTGGGTAGCCGGCCCGCTCGGAAAAAAATAGTAGGCGAAAAGGTGAAATTTGAGTGCGACATTTGCGGCAAATGCTTCTCGGCCAAACAGACGCTGACTTACCACCAGGGAGTCCACACGGGCAAGGGTTATGAGTGCCACATTTGTCTCCGTCGCTTCTACCACCCGTCCTCTCTGTCCACCCACGTGCGCATCCACGCCGGGGAGAAGCCCCACGAGTGCGACGTCTGTCACCGCAAGTTCCTCAAGCTGGACACCCTGCAGGTGCACTACAGGATCCACACGGGCGAGAAACCCTTCCCGTGCCAGGTGTGTGGGCGGCGGTTCAGGCAGTCCGGCGACCGGCGGGCGCACCAGAGGAGACACGACGCCAGGGACAGTCAGGTTTCCACCGTTGCGACTACGACTGTCCCGGAGGTTGTGCTCCAAGAGGCGAACATGGCAACTCAGATCATTAGTGTAGTCTCCTGGCAGTGAAGGGCAGGGGTAGGTTTATACTGGATGCATGTCTCTACTGGAGCCTAGGCTTGAAGAGCTTTCGAATTTAGAATGGGTTGGGAAGAAGATAATTGTTTTTCTTTTTGAGGACTATGACTTTATTTCTAAAATCTATGGCCTCTCTGGTGCTCAAGGTACTTGCCCATGTTTGTGGTGCCTCACGACCAAATCTCAACCTGCAACGTGTCAACAAAAATATTTTCTGCCTCGTTCTTTGGCGACTATGAAACGTGATCACAATCGTTACAAAAATATGGCCATGGCCTTAAAAAAATGTCGCTCGTTTTCACAACAGTATACACCTCCCACTTAAAAACAGTAAACCTGGTGAAGCAGCACCACCATACCTTCATCGTTTCTGGGTGTAGTTCTGAACCACCATTGTTTGCTGGAGGCAGCGACACACAAAATAGACATACGGCTAAGTAAGCAATCTGAGGAAGACTCAGACTGTAATGGAGTTTCGTTATCACTACGCATATATGGAAAAAACTGCTGTCGCGGGGACAAGCTAAATAGGGAGATTAGACATTTAGAAGGTTGCGTAATACTTTCTGACTCTGAAGAGGAGAGAATAATATAAACTTTCAAATGCAGCTGACGGAGAAAAAAAACAGGTTCTCGGAGTTAAGACACGAACCCCTTAGCCCTAGGACTGGTCCTATCTGTTCTCAGTTAGACACCATACTTGACTCACACAACATCACACTGCAGGCATATCAGTGGCTCTTTCATTGGCTGCCACAAATACATAATGAGTTGCTCTTATAAAGACCTCCCTGCTTTTATTGTAAAAGAAACAGAAAACACCCACATCCAAAACATAATGACACAGCTTACACTCTCAGAGAAAAATTCAATCACTTAATTGAAAAATTTTGATTAAAAAAATCTACACCGGGGTCAGCTTACAAGATTCTGCGCGCTGGCTGCCTGCGAACTTGAAAAGGGGCATTAAACCTGTATAAATGCCAATTTTGAAATTTGGGATTTCACTATTTTGAATCTCACAAACTTTGAAAAAATTTTCATGTCATATGTACATTCTGTTATTATCAGTTTGATATTCTGATAGCTGTTCATCTGTTCATAATGTAATACAATATTATAATAATATAAATGTTTGTGTTGCTTTCTTTGTGTTATCAGTTTGATATTCTGATAGCACTTCATCTGTACATAATGTAATATAATATAAAGGTTTGTGTTGCTTTATTTGTTTTCTCAATTCGATTTTTAAAATGTGTTGCCGCAATACAAGTACAGTCAGTTTTTTACACTCGTCTCTAGATCACTTTAATTTCTGTTGATTATGACGTAAAGCAACAATTTTTTAAAATTGACTCGCTCCTCCTCTGATGATTGAAAAACACACGACTAACTGACATCTTTGGCGAAATGGTTTAAAAGCTCTTTTCCGTTCCATCTATGTCGAAAATATAAGTTCTGTTCTCAAGTCGGGAAATTTTTGGTCAAGGAATTTCCATCTGTGAGCTGGAAATGGCTTGGCAGGCAGACTCGAAGTAGCCTGCCCCCAACTAAATGTGAGGAGTGCTGACAAAAGTCACTTCTTGCAATTCGCAAAAATGGAGATATTGGCCAAAAATCGACACTAGGATCAAATTTGTAGAATTTTTATTGATGCCATATTATATTCTTTTGTTATAACATGCCTTTTATTATTTCATACTTATAAGTTGTATGAACTTCACATAAGCGTGATGTATTGACTATTATTTCCATAACGCTTGAATCCAAGAAGTTACTCATTTTGTTAGCACTCTTCACGAGTTGGTGCGTAAGCTTTGGCAACTTATTGCTCCAAAATTGTAGACAAGCCCAGCTTGGCACTATATTGTCAGTGCATTTTGCTACCCGCGTATGGAGCATAAAATATGAAAAAAACTTTTTATTTAGTCTAAGCTAATGCTTATTGTAGTCTCTTGATTTGTACAATTTGTATTTAAGTTGTCATGAATTATTGACGCAAGCAGAGCAAATCAAAATGTGAGAGCTGACGGAGTTTTCAAATTTTGTTCCATTCTCGGATAGCGAACTGCAATGACGAAATAATGTCAGTTGCTTTAGCAATGGGAGTGGGAGGTAGTGTTGTTCTTACCGATAGTTGTAATCAAATGTAGAAACGTCCAGGTCGGTGTACAGTGTTGCTTCTGTGACAGGAGCTCATTTCCTCTGTTCTGTCAGCTTATGTTTGATATGCTATGCAGCCTCCTCTCTTTTTTTTGTGGCTGTTGTCACACCTTGGCTACCCCCCCGGGGCAGTGCCACTGACTGTAGTGTCTTTAGGCCATTCCCAAATGGGGGACATTTCTCGTTCAAGCACAGTAGAATTGTAAATGGGCTGATTCATGTCTCGCTCATAACTGTGCCTGATCTACAACAGGGAACTGCTGCTTTTTCTTTTTTAATCCTTACTATTGTCATTTCCTCTACTTCTTTTGTATGTTTGTCACTCTCTTGTGACCTGCTATTTCCGGGGGGCTTTGATAGTCGAAGCAGATCTTGTGCTGTTGAAGCTAGAGAGGTGAGCAGAATAAGTCTGATTCCCTCTAAATTTTATCTAAAGTGTAAAAACTTCTCTGTTGACACCCACCGCTTGGCGCTCTTATGACCTTATGCAGTTGCGAGAGCCGTAAAACCCTCTACTACTATTTAAAAAAAACAAAAAAAAACCCCTCTACTATAAAAAAAAACCCAACTATACTATACACCTTGCTTGGCTATTGCCTGCATGATCCAACATGTCTGTCTCCTGCGCAAATTGATTGCATTTCACACAAGTGTATGATCTTGGACTTCCTTAACTTACATTGTTATTATTTTCAGTAATACCTACCCTCAGAGTCATTCTTCTATGATGGCTTTAGAATTAATTTCTGGGTGTTTTCAGTTGAAGCCAATATTAAGTTATCAGAAAAATACATCAAAATCACCAAGAGTAATTTTACAGCAGTTTCCATTGGTTTCATTATTTCGAGTTTTAATCGAATGGGTTAGGTGCTTGGGAAATGATGCAAAAAAATTGTTGGCTACTTACTTAAACTTAAAGGCTAGTAGTAATAGTAATGGTACGAATACTTTCGGTATAATTTAATATAATGCTAGCCTTTTTGCCACCTTTTGGTTTCTTTTACTTGTCTGGTCCATGTTCTTTTTTTTCTTCTTTTTTTTTTCAAATAAAATGCAGAGATGCTGTATTTTGTCATTCGTCATAGTCGAAAGGTTAGGCTCAATAAAGTTTACCATTATATATATATATATGAAATCTCCAGACAGAGGCTCATCTTACTAGAGGTGTTGTCCACGTTTTTTAGTGGGATTCACAGTTTCTTATGCTTTTATGGGCACAATGCAAGCTCACTGACACTGGGTATCATACTAGCCTATGGTTCAACTCTCCAGAGGGGTGTTTTTTTACTTGAGTTGAGAGGTGAAGTCTTCAAAACTCTCCATCCACTTGGCTCATGTCATGTCGGACGGAGATGGACGAGAAAATTCAGAGGTCTAACCTCATTAAATAACCTTATTCTGCTTTGAAATGGGACGTTAAACCTGCTGGATGCAACAGCTTTTTAAAGTAGGCCTACGTGTAATCGAGATCAGAATTTAATAAAAAAATAATTTAAGATTTTGCCCCATGGAACTACAAATTAAAAATAGTGTGGTTGTATCCCTTTTAGCTGTTGATTGTTTTTGCACTTGTTAATATAAACCATAAATGTTATATTATGCAAGATTTATTTGGAACATTAAAATCTAAAAGTGTGAAATAATGAAGATCAAAAATTGATTTGTTTTGATGGCAAAGAAAACCTTCAGATTTTGTTCAGTGGAACTAAATGGTCTAACCCTTTTAGTTTTTGCCGATTGTTTTTGCATTTGTTATAATGTCATCTACACAGGATTTATTTGAACATTAAAGTTTATCTGATGATATCTATGGCTTGTTTTGTGTGGTGAATATTATTATTTCCAGAGAACACACATTAAGAAAATTGATGTCACCACAGTTTTAATACTGTACTAGAAGTGTTGAGAAAGCACTATTTAAATGCTTTGTTGACTATACATTTGTAAATTTGTAATAACATTTATTATAAATTTACCAGTGTATAGTTGTAGCTGTCTAGGATGTCTACCCTTTGTTGAAGAGAAAAGTGGCCATATTTACTATTACTATTACTATTAGATTGGTGGCCATCTTTCATTCAAAGTGAGCAGATTCCCCCCGGGGCAGTGCCCCTGACTGTAGTGTCTTTAGGCCATTCCCAAAAGGGGGGACATTTCTCGTTCAAGCATAGTAGAATTGTAAATGGGCTGATTCATCTTGTCACACTCATAACTCAAACTGTGCCTGACAACAGGGAACTGCTGCTTTTTCTTTCCTAATCCTTACTATTGTCATTTTCCTCTACTTCACTTGTGACCTGCTATTTCCGGGGTGCCTTGATAGTGTCGAAGCAGACCTTG